GGGCGCCGGGGAGGGGGGCGGCGCGGAGCGGGGCGGCCCGCTGCATGGCGCTGTGGCGTGTCCTTTCCAGCCCCGTACCGTCCCGGCCCCGAGGCCGCCCAGCGTCCCGCCGAGGTGATGAGGAACCCCCCGCAGCCCCAGCAAGCCTGGCTGCTGCCGCCGGACGTCTCCATTGTCTGACCACCGCCTGGGCTCCCCCGGCTCCCCGCAGGTAAGCCGGCCGGAGGTGCGCGCAACTCCCCTGCCGCCGAGCCCCATGCGCCCTTCTCCCTCGCGGCCTCCCCTTGGGCTGCGCCGGCCACGTCTCCAGCCAGGTCTCCGCTCTCTGCGAACTCGGCTTCTTTATGAGACCTCTCTGGCCAAACTCCCCGCAAGTCGGTCTCGGGGATGCGCCTGTCCCCGTCCGGAGTTTTGGAGTGTGCCTCTTGCAACAAAGGAGCCCCGGGATTGGAAGTCACAGCCCCACGCCAGTGCCTCCTTGCCAGGGACGGTGTGCGCCCTTGAAACCTTGGATCGCTTTAAAGGGGTGGGAGTCCTTTAGAGGGTCCTCTTCTTGCTGGGTAGGTGTGGGGTTTCCCAGAGGAGAAAAGTAGGGACCTCCTCGCCCCACCCTCAGGTTAAGATTTAGAAATTAGCTGTAGATGAGCGAGCGGAGGCAGATGTTTTCTTGTAAAGCTGAATGTAGGCACAGATGACAACTCCATTAGCCCAACTTCATCCACAACTGTTATGCACGTGGTGTGCACCCTAGATCTTTAAGAAGTTATTTTATGTGAGGGCTTTCCATCATGCAGAGTACTAACGAGTTGTGCATTTTTTTCCATTTTACCATATCATGCTTTAACTCGTTTTTTCAGAACGGTGGCCTGGTGCTCTAGAGTTTGGGTCTGTTGTTGCTTGTTTAACCGTGTCTCACAGTGATGGCAATTGAAGTTTGAATTTTATACAACGACTTTTAAAGATCAAGAAAAAAAAAAACGTAGTGGCATTCTGTGGTAAGATGGAATTTTATTGGAGAGAGCCACAGAGCCATGCTAACTCTAGGATGGAAACATGTATGATGGGGGCTTTCCTTGGCTAGAAATTTACAGTTGGGCCTCTCAGCCCTCCCTGAGGGGATTGCAGACTGTTCTTACCATGGCTGTGACCTGGAGGAGGACACTGAGAGCCTCCGTTTCTATAAAAGTCTGTTTCTATAAAAGTCTGTCTGCTGCACAGACCTCACTGAAGCCATGTGAAAGTTGGGGAGTGGAAAGCCATAACCAGAGACTAGTTTAATTAGTCTTGGTGATACCCAGCCCCTCCCACCTGCAATGTAATGTGAATAGGTTTTTTCATCAGATGGGCATAGCATAGATAACTTAGGTCAGGCAACTTTGAAGCTTTTAAATTTTGGGTCCTGGTAACAATTTTTATGAAATACTGACAATACTGTGTTTCTAATGAATATTTTACAAGGCACAATTTTTGCAATCTGCTTAGCTAAAATCTTACTTCAACATTTAAACAAACTTATTTTTTCCTGTTGTGCATTCTCTGCATGCTTTCCTATGGCCACAGAAGATTCAGGTTACCTCGTAGTCCCTTTCAGGAAAAGGGTCTCCTACGAGTTTGTAGGTGTGTCAGAAAGTTTTACCAGCTGAGATAGTGGTGAGATGGGGTAGCATTTGAAGATACAGTCAGTTCAGTCAGCACCTTTTGTAGCTATGGGTTGTTTGTTTGTTTTTCATTCAGATGTATGTGAGTCCCTAAAGCAGTTTAAGAAACTGTTTTAACATACTCTGTTTGTCCTTGTTCTCTTAGAGTCTATAAGCTGTAGAGGGACAGACTAGGCTGTCTGCTAGGGAGTTAGGCAGCACCTTCTGGGAGAGAGCACACAAAGGTGGACCACATTTTAGACTGAGGGCCCGGAATGCCTCCTCCTCCATCCCCCTGAAACAAGATTTAAGCTGGGATTTGAGGGATGAGTAAGCCCTGGTGTCGGTGAAGTAGGGGCTAATTTTCCAGCCGAGGAACAGCACGTGGGAAGGCCTTAAAGCGAGGGCAAGTAGTGCTCATTGTAGGAGCTAAGGCGTGGCTGCATGGTGGTTAGGGGAGAGTGTAACCTGGGGGTGAGGTGGGGGCAGATTGTCTAGGGCCTTTACTCGAAGGGCAGGTTAGAAATGTGGTTTTTAAACAACCTCTCCGATTGCCGCATGCAGAAAGTGGGGATATGAGATGGAGATTTGAAGTGGGAAGACCACACTGGCCATTTCACTGTGCTCTTTGGGAAGAGGCAGCCTGTTTCTTAGAGCTGGTGGTGAGTTCATACCACTAAAGTGAAGCCAAAATAGATGGCTTGGTTTTCTTTTTTTAAGACCTGGTTTTTTCTTTTAAGAGATGGGACTCAATAAAAGCAAGAGCAAAAAACACTTTTCCCCACTCCAGGGCCTTCCAAGTGCCAGGTACTTTCTCTGTCATTGAGTCTATGTTCCCAACCAAAAAGGCACTTTAAAACACACAACACACATATTTTCCAGAGGATCTGGGTTCAATTCCCAGAACCCACTTGACAGCTCACAACTGTCCAGTTTCTTCTCTCTTTGGGCACCAGGAATGCACATGGTACACAGGCACACATGCAGACAGAACACCTATACACATAAAATAAAAATAAAGATCTGTCCAAATTTAATCAGTGATACTGTGTAGAAAATATTTTTTTAAAACATTAGACTAAGCAAGTAGATGAATTTGCCGAAACCTCTGACAGCTTCTGGGGGTCATCAATGTGCCTGAAGCTCTGACAAGATCAGGAAGAGCTGAAGATAACCACGGGGAAGCTTGGCATTTCTTGGAGGTGGGGGGGGGGGTGGCTTGGAAAGAGGTGGCCTGGATAGGTGTCTGTAGTGTGCTATTGAACAAAGACACAAGCTCCATTCTGTTTTTGTAACATACAGAACAAAATAGTTACATGTTTGATTAGAAGCAGAAAAATATCTAGAGTCCATGGAAACCGTGGTTGATTCTGCAGGGAAACACTGGGATCCAGTTTCCCTTCTGTGTGCTTTTGCATCTCCTGGTGTTTATATGAGCATTAACTTGTAGTGAAGAGGCTGTAAGTTCTGTCCTTTAACAGAGAAAAGTCACTGTTCAGTGTTTAAGGGGTACAGTGCCAGTGTATATTCTTATGTTACATTAGCCGTATAGATACAAGCCTCACAGTACTTGTGTTTCCTGGCATGGGAACCATTAAAGGAATATTTTTAAATATAGTAAAAAGCTTCATGCACAGAGTATGTAGAATGATCTTAAGGTTTAATTGTAAAATGGTGATGATATATTCACTAGATAATGCTGCCACTTAAAATGTATACCAAAGAAATAAATTAAAAAGCTATGACTGTTAAGGAAAACCAGGACACACAGCTAAAGACATGATACAAATACACAAAAATTTCAGTAATCTTCCACTAAAACCTGTGAATGGAAAAATGTCTACAAGAAATTAGATAAAAATCTTAAAAATTATGGACCTAATTGGGTATTAGGGTTTTGAGCTACTTAACATAGCCTGTCCTTTTATAGTTACATATATGTATCATTGTATTTGTATTATACAAATACAAAATTGTGTGTATTTACAATGGAATGTTTAGTTTTACAAATTACATTATATTGGGGACCTGTTAGCTGCATAATAAAAGGTTGTGCTCATTCATTCATTCATTTTGAAGCAGGGTCTCTGTCTTGGAACTCACTCTGTAGCCCAGGCCAGCCTTGAACTCACAGAGATCCACCTGCCTCTGCCTCCTGAGTGCTGGGATTAAAGGCATGCGCCACCAACCCTGTTGCATGTTCTTTTAAAGCCATAGACGTTTGGAAAATGCAGTGCAAGTGAATGGGACTCGCTGAGAAATTGTAAGCAGAGTAAGAACAATCTGATATTTTACATAGAGTGGATGAGGGAGGGAGGCTTCGGGAGAAACAGGTCAGGTAAGTGATGTGTTTAGAGAAGACTGATGAGGCAGATGGTGTCTGGGCTTCTAGCTTGGACAGTTGAAAAGATAGAGGGTCCCACTAGCAAAATAGGTGCTGCAGGGAGACTTGGGCTTGGACCTCTGAGCTGAAGGACTTGCATACAGGTCACATAGTTTCTTCCTTGGGGCTTTGTGAGCGTCCTTTGCTCTCTGAAGTGTAGAGCTATGCTCCGACATTGAAGTTGTAGTAATTTTGTTTTGAAATATGGTTATACATTGTAAATTGTTTAAGCCCGGCCATGTCAGGACAGTTTAGCCTGCATTGTTGGTGTCAGATGGATTGTTGCAGATGTCCTGGCTCTGACTTTGGTGATATTTGGGTAGTCCCGGGTTGCTTTGGGCATTAGTGGCCCTGCTTTCGGTCAGAGTGATTCCTGTAATGCTGATGAACTGGTAAAGAAGGGACAGGACATAGGCAGAGTGGCCCTCTGGCCCTGTGTCCAGAGGGCTGTGCTGGCTTGACCCTTAGAGGACAGGTGGAGTTAGGGAGGTGGTCATTCTATGTAAAGATCCCATCTTGAAGAGCAGATGTGGAGCACATGTGGAGACATACTGGGCCAGAGCTGGGGCATTTTCTGCAGATAACCAAAAAGTGTCTGGGAAGGAAGGAAGGTGCTGTCACCAGAGGAGAGGCGGGCGGTGAGACTGTTGATGGGAGGGGCTTTCTGGGGAGTGCAGTATGAAAGTGAGTCTGTTGTGGCTCGTGTGAGAGTCAGTGTGGCTGTGAGGGTCAGTGTGGCTGCGCTCTACCCAGTTTCCTACTTCCGTTTCTGTCCATCTGCTCTTGTTGCCCCTTGGAACTCCCTCTTCTGGATGTGACCTGCACTTTCCCAGAATGGCCATGTCAGAAGGTCCTCCCCGTCTCTCCCCAGCTAACCTCATAGATGCAGCTGTGCTGCACAGCTGTGGATTCTCTGGCAGGCACCAGTGCCTTACCTCGGTGCTGCTCTTCCACTCCCGTTTACAGGTTCATGGTGCTGAGTCGCAGAGTCGAGTCTCTCGAGTGTATGGGAACTCGCCTCAGTGTTTGGGGAAAAGTAAGACGGAGGGGCTCAGAGGTCTCTGGAACTGGAAGTTAGGAAATCTCAGGGGTGTGTATGCGATACTTTTAAATGGTCTAGAGATGGGATAAAGGGAGCAGGGTGATACAATATTTGTCAGGTTGATGCCGATAAGCCCAGGTTTAAAGTAA